CCATACTAGATATCCTTTCCTTCTAGCCAATATGGTGATTCTATCACCTTGTTGACTGTTTCAAGACTCAGATCCATCTTTTCACTTCATCGCCCATGACCTATAGCATCATTTGTGTATTGCCTACTGAACAAAGTGTATCCCCTTGCACCACTCAAAAAGGCCTGCCGAGGTTTAGATTTGGATCCGTCACAAACCACACCTTTGTCTCCCCTTCATTCCAAGCCGGAGTTGGTGTTGTGAATGCCTAAGTCCATCTTCCTTGTGCAAAGTGCTCCCCATCCGGTGTTTCCTCTAATTGGATTGCCATAAAATCCCTAGTGTGTTGTCTTCTTGCCAGCCACTTGTTCACAATTCTTGCCTCTATCACTGCTCACAGTAACCTTAGTAGGTCTAGTTGAACATTTTGCCACTTCCCTAGCCCAAAGACTTGGAAGTGCTGGAAAGAATTTTGTTGATCTGGGTTTATCACTCCAACTAGTTGCTTGACCATCTTGAATCTTCCCTAATGTATGCACCTCCATATGGTGTAGTGGTTCTCATGGCCTAGTGTTCGGTCCCCTACTTTAAACAATTTGTTGAAGAAGAGAGGCTGGTTCAACCAGTCCTCTACTGTAATTGAGATGACCAGCGTCAATGGGAATGACTTCCAGAGTTGATGTAGACTCTAGATCAATTGTCCTCCTCCTATTACTTGTGTTTGCCCTTCTATAAACAGCCACTGAGGATCTTCATCCCAAACTCTTGTGCATCCATGTCTTGGTCTAATTGCCAGTATACTCCACCTGAAAAGAAGTTTCCAAGCTTAGGCCCCCAGTTGGAGGCCCATTAGTATGACTTTGTACCTCAATGCCTTGCTTATATCACTCGGGTCTATTATCCCCAATCCTCCTAGAACTTATGGCCTCATTGTGGACTGCCATACCACTTTTGCCATCGTCTGATCACTGACTAGTGCTCCTTTCCACACATATGTACACACCATCAACCTTATACGCTT